GCCAGCCCTATCTTTCTCTTCTAAATTCATAAGTCACACTTAGAAAGTTAGATTGTACTTGTTGCCAAATTTTGACTGTGTTTCTTATGCCTTCCAACTTGGAAAGGCTAATCAAGTGCACTAGTGTTTTGCCTATGCAGTTTGCATTTTGCTACCTTTCATCTTCTTTATTAAAAGGAGAGCTTCATCACTTCAGCCTTTTTCCAAAGGAAAAGCCTTGACCCATATAGAATTTCAACTAACTTTTCAATTTCAATTTTGAAATTTACTTTTGAGTTTTAGGATCCTTAAATTTTGCAGAGGAAATAAGATTGAGAAAGGTGAAATTTCACCAAATTCAGTTTTTCTTTTTTTCATGAATGCATGTCAAATTTTTTGGCAGTAGTCAATTTTCCTTGGGTGTAGTTTGCTTAAGGCCGAGGCTCTAAACAATCAAAATAGGGCACACCTTTAAATACTGCCGAAATATGTTGTTTTAATATTAGAAATCTTTATGATAGTCTGAAAATTTATTTTTGTCTCTAATAATAAAATTTAAAGTTAAAAAATAGTGTAGATCAAGAAGATCTATGAACACTTGAAAATATTGAAAATTGATGATCTAGATAATACATTACAAGATACATTATTTTCAATATTTGAAAATTTTTTTTTTCTCATGTCCAAACATTTTGAGGTTGAAATGATTGAATTTAGCATAAAACACCTTTTTTTAATAAATTTTTGAGGTGCGCCTTTATTTGATTGTTTAGAGCCTCGCACTTATATAAACTTTTTCCAATTTCCTTTGACATTCTACCTAATGTCTTAAAAATTGTAGAAGTTTCCTCAAATGAACTAAAATTAATGATTTTCTCAACTTTGGCAAGAATTTCATCAAATTTTGCAAAATTTGGGCTATCTAATTTACTAAAATACAGAAGTCAACCCTAGCATGGACACGAATCCGGATTAATCCTGAATGGACGGTGGAGATTGCCTATGTCTTCCCACACGTGATCCGTGCAGCACTATGAGCGAATAACCCTTTAAAGGTAAGGCAAAAGAGGGAATAATTCGAATTATGAAAATTCGGAGACCTTAAAAAGTAGGAATATATAAAGGAAAAAGTTCATATTGAGCCGAGGCTCTAAACAATGAAATTAGAGCCCACCTCAAAAATTTCACTAAAAGAGGTTGTTTTGATGCTCAAATATCCTCAAATTGATCATCTCGACATCAAGATGCATGGACATGAAAAAAAAATGAATTTCAAGTTTTGGAAATAGAGCATCTTGTAACGCATTTTTTGATCATCTGTTTTCAAGATTTCAAGTTTTCATAGATCAGCTCAATCTACACTATTTTTAAAGCTTCAAATTTTACAATTAAAGCTAAATATATATTTTAAAGCTATCACAAAGATTTTCAATATTGAAATCACATTTCTCTACATTATTTGAAGGTGCACTTTATTTTGATAGTTTAGAGCATCAGCTCTATACAAACTGCAACCATGTAGCTCATGTTTTCTTAGTGGTAATAAATTATATTAAAATAATGATAAAAGTAATAACTAAAGAATGGAAATGGAAGCTTCTTTAAAAGACGAATCAATCGGCTGAGCTAGTGGTAAGTGGAAGAACAAATCATGCATAAAGTTCGAAGTTATAATATTTTTCTTTTTTCTAATCAATTTCTCGGTCAGTTTGTAAGATAGGGCCAAGATACTTTGATAAGTTTTGTCAGGTTAGAAGAGTCATAAATATTTTGCTAATTAATTAAATTAAAAAATTAATTAATTTCTCGGTAGATAGTGCCATGATACTTTGATATGTTTTAACAGGTCAGAAGAGTCATAAATATTTAGTTAATTAATTGAATCTACTAATTAATCAAAACATCAATGAAATTTCATGTTAACTAACTCTTTTTCCAGAATTTACCGAAATTTCAACGAAAATATTGAGTTAGGGGTATATATCAGAAATACCAAACTGATGCTTATTAGTAGTTAAGATATAGACAAGCATCATTTAGGAAGAATATAGGCCACGGTTAAAAGGTGGACATATGGCAATCAGTGAGAAGACAACCCTATTGCTTAAGGACCTGTTTGGTTTCCTATAAATGGGGCCCTTCCGAGTTTTATTTCTATGGAAACAACCTAGACTGCCTGTTTGGTTTTTTTTGAAAATCGAATTGATATTTTTGTAGGAAATCATGTATCCTCATTTTAAACCAAATTTCAGGATATGTTAAATCCACCCAACTAGGTGGAATTGACATTTTTTGGAAATTAAAAATTAAATGCATAGACCCTAATATTATTATTGTTATTATTAATATTATTATTTAAATAACTTAGTATTGAAATAGTGATTATTGAAATATATTTTTATTATAATATTATATTATATTATTACAATACTATTTATATTATATTATGATTTTTTAATATTATAATATTATATTAATAATTATACAAGATATTATACTTTTATATAATTATTATACTTAACAGATCCCAATTAATTAGGATAAAACTTGGATGATGATGATGATAATTATTATAATTATGATATTATATTATACAAATGTATTAGATAGCAAATGTTTTGTGAAATGTAATGTTGGAATGAAAGAATCTTACTTGCAAGTATATATGCTATATTTGAAGTTGTTGAAAAAATAAAACCTTCAATGTTTGCCTCAAATTTTGGTTGTTGTTAGATATCAGAAGACATGACTCCATAATTTTGAAATGACACCATTTATCCCTCACTTGGACAAACACTTAAAAAGATGGACCTAAACGATTCTCAAGTACAATAATTGTAATATTGAGAATGGTTATTATTTTAAAAATAAAGATACAATAACAAATTTTGAATTTCCTAAAGATACATCATCCAGACAATCCAAACTGTATAGGAGTCTATGCCAGATGCTATCGAAACAACCTACAACCACCTTCCAAGAAATGTCAATTCTAGGAGAAACCGATCCCAGGATACGCATTTCCCTAACAATCCTATTTCCAAGGAACCAAACGGGTCAAACATATCTCTAGAATCAATTATTTTATGTGATGAACCATTGAACATAATCACACAATGCTATTACTATTCATTCTTTTCCAGGTCCATCACCTAGAGTTACTATATTGAAACCACTACTATTCAATTTTGTGTTGAGGTCTGTCCTCTAGAGGCACTCATATTGGATCGATGATCGATTTTTAGGTTTTGCAAATGTAATTGTTTCCTTTCAACCATATAAATCAATGCACTCAAAGGTAGGCATTTCATATTGATACAGGAATTGTAAACCTAATTGGTTACTTCGACTATGTTAATCAATGGTTCAAATTACATTCAAAGGCAGGCATTTCCATTGGAACTTTTGTACCCAAAACACATTATGCTCCAATTATAACCCCTCTTGGAAGACAAAAAAAAAAAAATCTCATCTTACCATCCTACAGACAAATCAATGGATTTCATTTAGGGTCGTATTTTAGGGTTTATAACAATCGGTTCATGGTACTTTGATTAGAAGGTAACAAATATTGCTAAAAGAGTTATCTATAGGTTTACTTTATCTCTTTTAAAAGGAATCTAAATAAATCTAGCTTGTGGAAAGATATCTTCTATTTGGAAACATTAGCAACCCAAATCTCTCTTTACATTAGACTTGGGGTGGAAACATTAGCATATGGTTAATTTGTCTCTACAATAGAGTAGTGGGGGAAGGGGAAGGGGAGTTTGAGAGGATTTTAGTGAAGAGAGAGGCATAGAGGGTGGGGTCCAATGAGTAGGGGGCACAATCATGTTGGGTCGACCCCAACTAGGTCTGGGTCCAGGTTCATGTTTTTGACCCGGCGGGTTGGGTCCAATGGTTAATCATGTCATGAAACCAGAATAACCGGATGTTTTTTTCCAAAACATAAGGAATAGCAACATCACTTTTGAAAAAAAATAATATTTTAGGGTGCGTTTGACACAAGAAGTTTTTGGGAGTGGAAAGGACTCTCCCACAAATTATGGAAGATGGCTTTTCCATCTATTTTTAAGGAAGGGAGGTCTTCCAAATATGAACTTATTTTAACACCAAAAAAGAGTAGCGTGGAAGGTCGACCTTCTACTTTACAGCTTCTACACAAGAATATCAAACATGGAAGTGGGACATTTAACTCTCACTTTCAGAAACTCCAATTTATCAAACTTGCCTTTAGCTTAACAAAGTAGTATATTTTGGGATATTATACAGTGAGACTATTTACCTTTTTCATAAAGAGGTCACAATTACTTAGAAACATCTGATATAAAATCTAAGGGAAAAATTTATATAGAGTCGAAGCTATGAACAATCAAATTAGAGCCCACCTCAAAAATTTCACTAGAGGAGATTGTTTTGATGCTCAAATATACTCAAATTGATCATCTCGACATGAAGATGCATGGAAATAAAAAAAAATGGATTTGACGTTTTGGAAAAGTGCATATTGTAACGCATGTTTGGACCGTCAATTTTCGAGATTTTCAAGTTTTTATAGATCTGCTCGATCTACATTATTTTTGAAGCTTTAAATTTTATAATTAAAGATGGAAATATATTTTAAGGCTATGATGAAGATTTTTAGTATTGAAACCATATTTCTCAAACTATTTGAATGTGAGCTTTACTTCGATTGTTTAGAGCCTTGGCTCTATACAAATCACACCCAAAATCTAATAGCTTGGGTGTATCACAAAGTTCAAGAAAATTTATTTTGAAGTTTAACATTTGTCAATAAAATAAATGGAGCCATCCAATTTCACATCCAATAGTAAAGATCAATTATAACTACCTTGTATCAAAGGTATATGGTCTCATTCTATACTTTTCCATATCGGGATTGTATACAATGAGACTATTTACCTTTGGTATATGGAGGCCACAATTACTTACAATGCAAGATCTAAAATATAATATTCGTCATAGATTTAAAGGGTCTTAGCATGAAGGGAGATGTCATAGAGTATCTCAATAACTAAGTTTATTCATTAATAAATAATAACTCTCTTGACATGGCATCAATATTTATTTCTTAGTAATGAATATTAGTTACATTCTTCCATAGTTGACACATTCTTGGAGATCCATCAAAACGGGGCATTTCCATCTTGGAGTATCATTGTAGCTGCAGAAGATCAAGAGAAAAAAAAGAAGTAATTCAATCCAAACATGTTTCCTTTTTACAATGTGACACTGCTAGAATGGATGAAAAATAAAAATTCCCAGTTTACCTCTTTTTGGATAGTTTTTATTCGTGCCCGCCAATAAATTGTTTGTGACATTCCTGTGATCGAAACTTCTGTTGATTAGCAAAAGAGGGTACGTGCTTTTGTGGGAAAATCAATCTTGGCTCTCAAGAGAAATTGCAGTCAGTAAGAAGCATGACTTACAATAGCCGGAGTTTTCCAACAATCGCCAAATCTACGATGGCTTTCGGAATTACACCTGATAGTTTATTATTGTTCAACCGTCTGCACAAAATACACAGGAATAAACAATCTTAAAAAGATCTTGATGCTCCTGTTAATCATCTCAAATATTAATTGTAAAAGATTACATTTTCCAAAAATAGTAAGCCAGATTTTGTTTATTATACTTATGATCTCTTATGGGAGTTACATTTTTGCTAAGATTGGGATCTAAATTTGTCTGCAATAAAAGTTTCTTAAGCCGACTCTAGATCGTAATTTTTTAAGTTTGGTTGATTCTTCTACCAGGGGTCTAGTTGCTGTTCGATGGGTTGATTTTGGAGGATAACTTGCTCAATTGGAAAGGTAAGTAGTTGGACAGTAGTTGAGGATTGATTTATATCCTCGAACCAATCAGGATTTCGCAAATTTATATGCTTGGAGCCGGTACATAAAAATTTCATGTGTTTCTGGCTCTGTTTCAATTCAAATCTGGATTAGCATGTCAGTACAACCCTAGACATACAAGCAGATGTTAGTACAATCTTGATTCGAACATCGCGTGCCAAGAGGATCATTTAATGGTAAATCTTATACATTGTTCCAGTAATTTCTTGAGCTGGGTGGCTTATAGTGGAAAGAAGGAGGAGTATGATTCAAATGTTTCATAAATTACTTTTTGGGTGCAGTTGGCATACGGATGCATCCGTAACTGTAGCGGTAAGGTGCACCTTTCAAATTTTATCATGGTATATAATTTTGATGTAAAATTTTCTTAGGATTATTTCAAAATCTATTTTATATCTAATTACAAAATTTTAAATTTAAAAAATGGTTAAAATCAACTAAATCTGTAAACATATGAAAATCTTAAAAATAGACGGTGTAGAAAGTATGTTGTAAACTGCACTGTTTCTGATACTTAAAATCTTTTTATTTTTCATAGTCATACATCTCGATGTCGAGATGATCAATCAAAGGGTTTTTTTAACATTAAAACTATATTTTCCGATCGATTTTTGAGGTGCATCCGTAGCTGTAGAGCTATCGTTGCAACCTTAAATAAACTTTTTCCTTACTTTTTACGTGCACAATAAGAGAAGGGATTGTATACATATACCTGTTGTACAAAGAGATCACAATTGCTTATAAGATTCAATGTGAAATTTGATTGTTTTAGTGTTCACAAAGGTTGAGAAAAATTCTGTTGAACTTTGTGCTTGGTCAATGAAATGAATACAATCAGCCAATTTCACATCCAAAGGTTAAGATTAACTGTGACAACCTCGTACAAAAAATAAATGGTCTCATTGTATACTTTTCCATAAGGAGAATTGCCTTTTTTTTTGTCGGCGTCATGTATTTTTCTACAGTGAGCTTATTCAAATGAATCAAAGAATGGAATGCAAAAGATTTTTGAGACACTTCGCATAGGAAAGACATGATTTACTATATGTAATACACAGGGGAAGTTTAGCTTGTGTTGTTTGGATACTTACAAATACTTGAGAGATGTTAAGTTGGCAAGAGACTGAGGAATGGGGCCATTCAATCTGTTTTGTTGGAGATCCAGGCTCACAAGGCTTTTCAGTTTGCCAAACTCCGCAGGAATGCTCCCAGTTATGTTGTTATTGTTTAGCGTCCTGCCAAATTTGAGTGTAACATAACAGTCAACAGGAAATGCAAACTTACTTGAAGGGCATTTTATGAGTCCTAGGACACATCGGTAGATAATGCGCTGGCTCTTCACAATCTATTTTTGAGGATGATTTAGGACTTAATTTTTTAAGGGATTGTATATAATGAGACCATAAAAAATATCTCCATATCCCTTATTTTTAAGTTTTGTTCCTCAATAGACTCAAGGTTTCAAAACATATATTGGGTCATAAAAATTTTAAGTTTTATATCTTTTAACTCTCTAAGCCAACTTTATCGCCTCTAAACATATTTTTTTGTCCCAAACAAATATAAAAAAAACGTATCTTTTCTATACACCATCATTTCTCTCTCTTCATGTGATTTTTCCCTAAATCTATTTATCTACCTATTTTCCCACTCTCTTTCCCCTCATGTCTCCGTTAGAGAGACAAAGTTATATCTCTCCCTACTTATTTTCTCAATCTCTTTCCCCCCTGTCTCTCACTCTCTCTCCCCCTGTGTTTTTCATACTCTCTCTCCCCCGTTAGAGAGAAAAAGAGTAAATGTTAGAGAGAGAAATTTGGAGAGAATATATTACATAAAAAAAAGATAGGTTTAGAATGAACATGTCTTTTTTATATTTGTTAAGATTAAAAAAATAGTTAAAAGTGGATAAAATTAGTCGGCGGGTTAAAATATATATTTTAAATATTTGGGTCTATTGAGATATAAAAACAAAAAATAGAAAGTATGAGGATATTTCCTCTTAAATTTATTACAAGAAGGTCATATTCGCTAATACTTACTAGATGTCAAACTGGGTGGCTTGGGGTTAGTCACGGAGTTTGAGAAAGGTTTTTTGAACTTTCAGTCATTTCAATGACATTTTTACAACAGCCTATTTTAAAATCCAATAAACAAAAGTTATTATGACCTCATGGTACAAAAAACACAAATGGTTTCTTTATATATTTTATCTTTTTTAATATATATATATAAATATTGAGATCATTAATATGTAAAAATAAATAAATTTTAAAAATTAAACATAGCAAATTTTGAAAAACACTTCTGGTCGTTGATTCTATCTTTTTTTTGGAGGGACCATCACTCTACCTCAATCTTTAAGATGAATATGAGATGCCTTGGGGCACGCAAATGTAGTTATACATACCCCCACACATAAAGCTTTCTTTAAAAGTGTATTGTTGGGCTTGTTGCCTACAAATGGAAATGGTTTGATAGGGTTAGGCCCTATCAAAGTAAGTAAAGCCTCACGTTATAACTCATCCAAAATTACAATTTAAGCATTGGAAAACCTTTACATCGATCATTTCCACTTGAGCAAAGGGATTTCAAGTTCTAAAGATAGTGTATATTGTTACAAATTATCTAGACCGTCCATTTCGCCCTGAAAATAGTTGTTCACATAACCACAAGATGTGCACCATTTTTTTAGTTTCAAATTTTATTGTTGGTGTTGGAAATTGATTTTAGAGCCATCATGTATATTTCCTTTGTTGAAAGTGCATTTCGGAAAAAGATTTGAGTTGAGGATTTATTTTGTTTCCATAAAGCCTAGGCCTTATAAAAACCTCATCCCCTACAGACTTATTTTCTTTTACTTTGTTGTTTGTAACAACAAATATACATATGTGGGTCCCCTCTTAAACCATCTTAGAAATGGATTTTTAGTCTAAAATTTTAAGGATTCATGATCTAGTTTAAGATGATCATGAACATGAACAAATAAATGAAATTTATGTATTTAAAATATGATTTTTGAAAAAATTCTATATCGTATAAACCTTGTAAGTTTTTTACAAAGTCATTTTTTTGAGTAATTCAATAGAGAAGACATGTCCCTACTCATTTTTTTTCAAATAATTTAAGAACGAATTTTTTGAAATAATTAATGAGATATTATCGGTGAGAAATGAAATAACTAGGGTACGGGGTGCTGCCACATGATTCAGCCCCTTTCCCTCAACGTCCAACTTACAGCATATAAAGTTGGAAGTTAACTCTTGCAGGTGCAAGGCTCTTGCACCAGTTTACTCGGATTCTCTGTCCATCAAAAAAGGCCGACAAGGACCATGAAATTCCAGCTTTTTTCTAACTCTTTGGAATATCATTATCTTCTTAAAAAAAAAAAAAAAGATTTTTTTGTGACTCTGGCGAGTCCACCACTTATAAAGGAATGGACGGCGGATGTCTGATAACTGGATACTACAACAGCCTATTTGGATGTCCTCAGTTATTATTAATAATTTAATTTTTCAATAAATTAATCTTGATGATGAATTATCTGTAGTTTGACATTATTCATCATATAATTATCAGAGATAAACTAATACACATTTTTACATGTAATTTTATTTTATTAAAATTATTTTTATTTTATTCAAAATAATTTGCAGAAAAGCATGTGCTTTTAGCGAAAAGTGATTAGATATAGAGCACATAATACAAAGTACATAATAAACCACTAACAGAGTAATTTCAAGTAGGATAAATGATCAAGGAAGAGTGCCTTATGCATCGGGGGAAGCATTAACTGCATTTGATCCTCGAGGCACCACACATCCATCTTAAAGATGGATATGGAGTTGTTATCTCTCATAAAGGCAAAATCAGCCCTAAAAAAATTCCTTCTAAAAAATTCATTTAGTTATATAAAATTTATATTTTTTTGCATATTTATACTTAAAATATTGGGTCCAAAATAGTGTTAGCAAATCTGTCCAATTAGGAACTGGCCGGTCAAATTGGAACTGGGCACCAGTCAATTTGGTTTTGGTGGTCCGGCCAAGCATTTTAAAAAAAATTCAAAAAACATATATAAAATCTCAAAAAAAAAGATATTTATTTGTAATATGTTTTTCAATGTTTTTTTTATTATTTCGGCAAAGATTGGTGAGAGTTTTAGCCATGAATATTTATTTTTATTTCCTCTTTTTAGAAAACTTCGAAAATACCTATAGACACAAATTGTTTTTTTAAAATCCATTTTTTCCCTATTTTTCAACAACATTTTGATTTGCTTTGTTTAATCATGCTTTAAATATACTTTTTATATTTTTTTATTATTTTTTAATATTTCAAATATTTTTTAGATTTGCTGGGACCTGCTCAATTAGACCGGTTGAACCAGCCGATCTACCTGTTACTCGTACACTGCCTATGGGCGGCTTTCGGGGCCGGTTCGATTTTTCGAATAATGGTCCAAAATCCATCTCAATGAAAAGGAAGTTAAGAAAAAGGAAAGCATATCCTATATATATATATATATATATATATATATATATA